GGGCAGGGAGTGCTGAGGGTGGGGACATCGAGCTTCCAAATGAATGTAGGAATACATGTTAAAGATTAAAGTGCAGCGCGATACAGCTGAAGAATATCAACAACCTACCTGACGCCATAGAAGAGACACAGCTCTCAAACTTAAATGCCTAACTTCTCTATACTACATTTCACTCCTTCTCCAAGAAATAATAGCTAATGTTTGTGGGGTCCTTGCTATATGCTCAGCCCTGGGCTATGCTCAGTCAGGCACTATTATTGTTGCCACTTTTACAGCTGAGCAAATTAAAATTCAGAGAAATTATGAGATTTGGTAAAACTCACAGAGCAAACAAAAGACAAGTCAAGATTTAATTATAGGTCTTTCTAATCCTAAAATCCTAGTTCTTAACCATTCACTAGCTATATGGCTTAGCCTGGAATGATATAAACTGAATCGATAACACGTGGATTAACTGCTATTCTGGCTTACTCATATTAACAAATTAATTTACCAGGTTTGTGGTATAGGAAGGAGGAGGTTTGGTTTTGTTTTGTTTTTAAAAAGCTATTGCCTGTACAATCAGGAAGCAAACTGAAAAGGGTAAGTTTTACTATTCATCTTGATGAGATATTCGGACCGAACAGTGCCAAGCCGCAGGGAAATCTAACTCTTTTCAAACGAATCCCAGAATTCTGGAGAAGAAAAAGATGACTCACAGACAAGAAAGCCCTTTAAAAGCATCTTTTTATTTGCTATAAGAATATATAATTTGGCATTTCTATACAATCCATCGTGCACATAACATGGTAGGCATTTTACAAGCAATGCAGAATCTCAATATCTGTGCATTTACTCAATTACAATATTAGCAAAGGATGAAAAATGACATGTTGGGATAAAAGAATACAAAGGGAGCCAACTTTCTTCCCCAGGATCATGGCTTCCATCATCAAGAAACACAGTCAAGAAAGCACAGCCACATTGACCTCTCAATACCTGAGACTGAAGGCATTGCAGATTAGGTGAGGGACATCATTTGTGGGTTGGGCCTGTTGATGTGGGAACTCATAAAAATTTCCTGCAGCTTCGGACGTTCTTATTCAACAATTACTTTTCTTTAATTTTTGTAAGAGTTTATTTGAGCCAAATGGAGGATACACCTGGAAGCAAGATCTCAACAGAGAAAAAAAAAACTTCCCAGAAGGACATTTACAGTTTCTTTTATGTATTGGATTTAAGGAGGGAAAGAAAGGAAGATTACATGAAGGTGGGAGAAAGCAACATGGGGACTGGATTACAGGAGAGTAAGATCACCTGCTTTGCGGAGGGTGGTTAAGTTTATTTCAAAGGTGTGTTTACTAGATGCACAGAATCAATGGGCAGGTGTGCTTAAGGCAAAGATAAGCCTTTCACTAAAGAAGTTATAGGCCTGGGGCGTGACTACCACCATGACCTGCCCAGGTAGGAATTTATCATCAGATCACCCTGGGAGGTTCCTTTCCGTTAGATCTATTACAGCATTCCGTTTCCTCCACAATCTATTGGGCAGCTAGGAGGCCACTACCTCGTGGGCAGTTTCATTGTGTGGCCAAATGGCTCTGTGCAGCAAGCACTAAGGCATCTGAATATGAACAGGTAGAAATTACCTGTTGAGTTAACCTATTTCAGGTGGATTAGATGCTACCGGCCTGCAGAAGGGTCCTCTTGCACAGGCACCAAGCAGGGAGCTACGAATTACAATTGTTTCCCTAACAAAAAGTCACAGTGACTTTCCTTTTCATATAGTAATTACTTTTCCTTGCAATATTATGGTAAAGCACATTATAAATAAGCTGCTCAATAGCATGATGGGCACTAAACTCCAGCTGGCTCAACTGCATAACTGAGGCTTATTGGAAATGAACCGCAGAGCATGAAAGGAGAGAGCCAGCCAGCACCCTTTACAATCAGACCCCAAAGGCTGTGGCATCAGGGCACAGCTCCTTCTGTGTAGTGTGTGTGTGTGTGTGTGTGGGGGGGTCCTGGAGAGCGTTTTCTGGATGTGAAACCCTCATAACGACATCTGCTGTGCATCTATGAATCTCCAGGCTCAGCAATAGCAATCAGAACCTATATTATCCTTAATCGTCATCACAAAAGGCACAGTGGACATTGTGAATGCCACTTTCTAGTGGTGCAAACTGAGGCTTTTAAAGATGATGCCATCTAGACGGAGGACCTGTGACTAGTTATAGACAGAACAGGATTGGAGATCAGATCTGCCTGAAAATAAGCCTAAAGTTATCCATGGCGCTAGGCCGTGTCTGAAGGGAGCAAAGCTGATTCTGGCCTTGAACCTTTCCTTACAATTTCTGTGAATTTAGTTCCAAAGTACAAACCCTAAGAGAGACACAGTAGGGCTGAAAATGCCACCACGAAGGGAGGTGGGTTATAGACGTCTATTCTACCAACAGCTGTGGGAGCAAGTGGGCTCCCAAAGGGACTTAGGTATGTGGTCTGTTAGGACGATGATCTGAAATTTAACTTCAAGGCATCTCCAGCCTTACGGAGGAAAATCTTCAAATAAGGAAGTCAAATTAGGTTCAGCATTTTACACCCTCCTGGACATATCCTGGAGTAAATCTCAAACCTAGAACCTCTGGGGCATGGGCACCTCATTAATTTCTAGCATTGTCCACTGTGAGTAAAAGGAATGGATTAGAGGAAAGCAGAGCCAAAATGCATTTCCTGCCAACTCTCATAGCCTTAGACGAATCTATAGGCCTGAGGCACACAATTAGGACCAGAACAAGGGTCTTTACTTTTAACCTAGATCCGCTGAGTTCAGAAATATCTACAAACACAAGTCATCAGCCTGCTTTTCCCTCTAAGATCGTTACATTCAGAAGCACAACTTTTGCTTTGGACGCATTGACTTTGAAAGTTCCATGTTTACTTGAATTTTAAATATTGCATTTAAAGTTGAAAAAAGATGTTTTTGGAAGTGCATTTCCTACATACAATAATTATTAAACCAATAGTCTTATTGGGGCAAGTCAACTTCTGGGGATACAAATAGTGTCAACGGGAGGAATTTCATTTTTTCAGAACAGGTTGCATCACTTTAATTTTGGTCCAATTGAGACTTTGAAAAATGCATACCAATAAAAGCTTCATGAGACAATGCTCTTACTGGTTTGCTGGTGAAGTTGGCATCGACCCCCAAATCCAGCAGCCGATGAGTCTATAACAGAACTCCAAAGGGGGAAATCACACACAGCCTTCACTTTGCCCTGGTGGCGTCAACCATGATCGCACAGCCCCACAGGCACATCCTGCTGGCTGCTGTGAGCTGAGAGGCAGAGGAGCAGGCCTCTCCTTCACNCAACTGAGATTTTGACACATGAAGAGATGTTGAAACAGCAGAGAATTAGAATAAAGGCACAACTAGGCTATATCTTCATCCAAGGATGACACATTGATTTCAACACAGTGGAAACTCCGATGGTTAGAACCAACTGCATAGAACTCTGTGTTGGGAAGGCTTTTCAGGCTGCCTGGTCTTGGTGAGAGAAGGCAGACTGAGGTGTGGTAATATAGTTGTCACATGTTTACATGTTTTTTATCTCTCTGTTACTCTGGTTTGGCACCATCTCCAGACATTACACTTTTGAGGATCTATTTTATATAAAGCACTGTGTTGGTTGCCATAAAGAATACAAATATTTTAAAAAATGGGGTGAACCCTCTTCTTCCAGAGATGATAATATAGTAGGGAAGAATTAAGATCTATGTAATTTGAGGTAGAATCACTGAAATGTCATAACGAAGTATAAAATAGAGCATTCTGAGAGTTAACTAGGGCAAAAGATCGCTCCAGTCAAGGAAGTCAGATCGGTCCTAGAGGTGATATTTTCTGATGGGTCTTGAAGAATAATTAAAATATCGACAGAAAGGCTAAATGGAGAAGGCATTCCATAAACACAGAGTGACGTGAACATAAATTGAGAAGAGGCCTTGTTCAGTTCCATGTGGAGGTAAGTGGTACAAAATAATGCTGAAGGTGACAGATGTCACTTCACGAGGAACTTTGTCCTCCAGAAAAGGCATAATTAACATAGTCCACACATTTATTAAACAGAATCACCCGGTGATATCAGTTTGCCTTTATGGCTTAAAATGCTTAAATTCGAATGTTTTGGCATTCGTTTGACCTCCTTGTGCTGAGTATGGTTGAGGAGCAAGGGGCCAAGGAGCTCAGCAAACTTTCTGCAAACATTGAACTTTCTGAGTCTGAATTTATTGATTAGCAATAAGGAAAATAAGTCTTGCCACACAGGCTTACTACAAGAGTTCAATAGATTAGAATATATTAAAGCGCTTGGGACCTACTAGGTTCTCAAAAATATTAACCAACTTTTAAAATCTGCTGTACTAGAGCATTGCTGTATAATTTCAATTTTTTGGCAGCTCTGAGTGGACATATTTGTCTCTATTGTTACAATTATTTAATATCCTTTTACCTTTATGTCTTAAAGTTTGGAATCTTCTTTTACCCAGTGAGTCATAAGAGATTGATACTAGAAGAGCAATGATTATAAATGAATTGTTTCCATAATGGCTGGTTTCCAGGCAAGGTGCTTCTATAAGCACAGGTCAGCTGAACCTCTTACACAAGTGTTCAAAACAAAGCAAGCCATAGAACAGCCACAGAGAATCCAAGCTGAACATTCAAATACAAAAGGAAATAAGTATTCTATAGTTATTATCACTTGTTATTCCCAAAAGGCAGTTTTTCATGTTCTTTGAATATAACAAAACTATAACATATGCTCACAAATCTCCTGAATCAGTCTTAAAACAATACTTACCACCAGCAATGGCCCACTTTCTCCATCTATGGTACTGACAGGCCTTCTGTGACCTCAACTGGCCTTGCCGTGGGCACCTGTGGCTATGCCTGAAGTGAAGCCAGCAGCCAAATCATAAATTCACTCCCAGCTCCTAGCTCTAAGGCATCTCACTTCTAACCTAATGTGACAGATTCCCAATAAACCAAGATGTTGACCCAATAGGATTTTTTAAAATTGGGAATTGATCAAAGAGGATATAATTGATGGAGTGAAGTTGGCAGACCATGGAAAAATAATTCAAACCTTGCAGATGAATAGATGGCCTTCCATCTGTCTTAGGGAGAAGGATTTGAATGGAAATCCTAG